CAAGTGGCCTTTGAAGCAGGCAGAGTTTGCACCACCCAGAGAAAGTAGTTCTCACAGGGCACATGTTTAAGCTGTGAACTCCTTGTTACAGGACTTTGTGGATGATCATAGAATCACGGAATGGTTTGGGTTGGAAAGGACCTCACGGGCATCCATTTCCAACCCCTCTGCCAGGAACAGCTTCCACTAGACCAGGTTGCTCAAAGCCCCATCCAACCTGACCTTGAACACTGCCAGGGATGGGGCAGCCACAGGTTCTCTGGGCAACCTCTGCCAGTGCCTCACCACCCTCACAGGGAAGAACTTCTTTATATCTAACTAGCTCTCCTCTGCCAAAGTTTGAACCCATTACCTCTTGTCCTATCACTACAGTCCCTAATGAAGAGTCCCTCTCCAGCATCCTTCTAGGACCCTTTCAGATACTGGAAGGCTGCTATGAGGTCTCCATGCTGCCTTCTCTTCTCCAGACTGAACAGCCCCGATTTTCTCAGCCTGTCTTCATATGGGAGGTGGTTTAGCCCCCTTATCCTCGTGGCCATTCTCTGGTCTTGTAATAAAAGCTTATGTTAGTCCATAATGAGACAGGACAGTAATGTGGAAAAGAAATTCAAGGAGACTTACACAGGCTATCTAAAAGCCATGCCAATCTCATGAGGTTCCTGTGAACTGCTGGAGGCTGGAAGACTACCCCTATACAGAAGGTGCTACACTGGGGTTGAACAGAAATGTCCTTTCTTGATCTCATTTGAATTTGTGACCTTTCCCTATTACACACAAACTTGCCCTCCAGTGCCTTAAGGGTCCTACAAGAGAGCTGGAGGGACTTTTTACAAGGGAATACAGGAACAGGACAAGGGGGAATGGCTTTAAACTGACAGAGGGCAGATTTAGATTAGATATTATATTATTAGATATTATATATTCCCTGTGAGGTTGCTGAGGCACTGGCACAGGTTGTCCAGAGAAGCTGTGGCTGCCCCATCCCTGGCAGTGTTCAAGGCCAGGTTGGATGGAGCTTGGAGCAACCTGGTCTAGTGGAAGCTGCCCCTGCCTGTGGCAGGGGGTTGGAACTGGATGAGCTTTAAGGCCCTTCCAGCCCAAACCATTCTAGGATTCCATGTGGGTGCAGCCCTTGCTGGCTGGGGACAGAGCTCAGAGCAGGGCTTCCAGCTGGCCAGGTGACCTGGGCTGGCAACTGGGTTTTGGCTTGCAGAGGAGCCCTCCTCTCTGCTGAGCAGAGCAGGAGAATGGTGTCTCTCCTGACTACTCCATCTTGTCCAGTGTCAGAGCCTGAAAGCAAGTGGAGGTTTGAAATGGGAGCAACTGCTCCTTGCTCTTGTTGGTGGCCAGCACTAGCTAACTTCAGGCTTTTCTTGGTATGCCAGATGGAGCTGTCACACAGAGCTGGCTTCATGACTCCAATGCCAAGCAGGACCCAGTGTCTCCTAAAATAACAAGCCCATCTCCCTCCTCACCTCAAGGTAAACCTGGAGGAGCTCCATTGCTGGCAGCTGTGTTACACAGCAGGAGAATCAGATCAGCTCTGTCTGAGAAATGATGCAGCATTTAAAATGGTGCTTTTCTCTGTTTCTTGGAGCCCGCTCAGCCCTTCTGAGCCACCAGCCTTCTGCCCAACTGTGCTCATCCGTGCCCTGGGACAAGGGAGAATCAAAGAGTGACAGAAATTCCTTTGTCAGCCTGCCTGGGAAGGAGGGTTACAGAGCTATTAGTGAGCACAAAGAAGGGATGGATTCTCTTCTAAGTGCTCCGGGGACAGATTTAAATGCTTAGCTCCCATTAATGTTAATGTGAGTTACAGAGGTCTCTTCATACTGCCTTGAAACAAGAGCATTGAAAAAGAAGCCAGCTTTCCGCAAAGAACAAATTCACTTGATTTTAAGAGCCACTAAATGAGATTTTTCTTCATTTCGCACTCATTAATTCCTCTGCCTGTGATAGCTTGGTGTGGGATTCTGCTCCAGTCCAGCACATGTGGGCTGGCTGACCCGCTGCGCACTGGAGGACAACAGGTCTCCATCCACCGTCCCCTGTGCTGTGAGGGGACAGTGGTCCCCAGAACTGGGTTCCCGGCCCCAAGAAGAACCAATGATTTTGTTCCCACATGGAGATGCAAAGCGCAACGTTCCAGCTTTTCACAGGGAGAGGAAATCCCTCCACTGTGTGTCAGAAACATTAACAGCATCTTGCTTCCTGACAGCTGGTGGAGCACCTGCAGAAGACAAGGTTTGCGGTCCTTCTGACCCCCTGCTCCCAGATGGAGGACTCCTCCTGAGTGTCCGTCTCCTACTCCTTCCATATAGATCCCGCAGAACCTGTGATTCTGCCTTCTGTGTCTGGTGATTAAATCCTCCGAGGTGACAGACTGTATTAAAGCTTGGGTTTGCTCCAAGGGTCATTGGAGGTACCTGTAGAATTTACAAACCCAATCAGTCATTTAATTTCTCTCTGCAGCCTCTGACTTATTAACATAATAACAGAAACCAGAAGGGCTTTGTTTTCCTGTGGCATATGGTTATGAATCACATTGTCACTGCGCCTGCAGCACTGCCCTTAATGAATATATTCAGGCATGCCTGTGAGTCCCTGCACACATTCCCATGCGCGCTCCACTGTCGTATAGCATTAATTAACCTTGTTTAATGGGCTGACTGTGATGGCTTGCAGCTCAGAGTCCCCAGCGGGGTGACTCTTGCCATAAGCATCAGGGATGCAGCAGGAGAGCTGGGCAGATGTTTGTTTCAAAGGGGATGTGTCCAGGAACATGTCTGAACTCCAGGAGAGTCTTGTCATGGTGGGGACCCTTCCTGGAGATGAGCACAAAGCTCATGCTGTTGAAAAAACCTTAGAGCTCCTATGTCCAGTGAGAACCCTATGTATGGGAACACCAGGTTTGCTCAGACAATGCTAGCACATCAGTGTGAGCCAGGCATCCCATTCTCCATGCTGGGGGCAAGGCACGGGGCAGGGTGTCCACTGCACACCTCACCAACCTTACAATTATGGAGAAAATACAGTTTCCTGAGTAGTTCATGCCCCCCACCTGCAGGCACTGGTGGCATTGAGAACACCTTGAGCAGAGGGAAGGGCTGAGCTGAGGAGTGGGATGCACTGTAAGACCACAGGGAGAGATGCTCAGAAGGTGATGGACCATCTTTTTCATTTTGTGGACAGGCTCAAAGCTTGTTGTGCCATGGAAGACATTGTGCTGCGAGGTTGGGAGTGTTCAGGGTGAAGGAGCTACCTGTGGACAGTGTGCACTGGCATCACAGAGCTCTTACTAAATTTCAAGAGCACATTTTAAATGCTTTCCCATTAGGAAAGACTCAAAGAGTTATTTTGATACAAAGATCCCCTTTCTGGGATGTATATTGATAGGAAAAGAAAAAGCCTTCCAAAGACTTTATTAAAAGAAAAAACCTCAGCATGCTGCAGTTTTAATGAGGAGCTTGTAAACATAACAAACTCCTGCTGATTTTCTCTCAATTGCCTGTGTTGCCGAAGGCCAGGGCCCTGCAGTTCTCAGCAAACCACCTTGCTGGGTTTAACACGTCTTCCTAAATCTGGGGGGGCTGGAGCCATGCGTGGCTGCAGAGGGCAAGCATGGGGCAGGGCGATGGAGGCTTTCACATGGGCGCAGTGGAGAGGATGAGAGGCAGGGCTGGGTGGTCCCTGGGGTGCGTGAGGCTGCCACTGGGGGAGCAGTTCGGGCTCTGGCCTCAGCTCTCCTCCAGTTTTGGCTTAGGGAGGGAAAGGAAGAAAGACAGGGAGACCTACTGAGCTGATTTAGTAATCCCATTTTTATTAGAGATGCATTTGCTGATTAGCTCCGCATCCTAATGGCTTGGGCACTATAAATTACAAAGGAATTTCAGAAATCACCAGGGTTATATTAACATCTCCTGGGGAGGCAGCAGTAAGGTCATTTTCTGGGCCATTAAATGGTTGCCATTCATTTGCTACCTCATCTCTCTGATAGCAATGCCTCTTTTTCTCAATTTCAGCCCAGCACCATCTCAGCAGGCACCACGCACTGGTGACCTTGCGTCCCTTCTGCACCATCGCTCCCTTTACTCCCCTCTCCCATCTCACCTTCTTCCTCTCTCCATGCTGGCATTCAGGGGAGCATGACACAAGGCAGGTGCCAGCCTGATGCCGACATCCTGATCACAGGAGAGATGATACATTAGGTTTTGGAGATTTGGGCTCCCTTCTGTGTCTGCCACAAAGAAGGATCACACCTCAAAACCTGTGTGGTGTTTGCAGGCAGTTTGAGCCCACAAAAGAGGCAAAATCCCTCCGAGAGGTAAATTGTCATGGGTGATCAACTCTTACTGAAATCACAGCAGATGGGGAAGATTCCTGCTCAGCCCAGCACAGGCAAGAGCAGGCTGTGAGTGTTTGCTCCCATCCCTAGCACCAGAGGAGGAGGGAGCAATATTTTGCATGGCAATGGAGGAACCAGCTTTACCTTTCAGGGAGATTTTTGGTCTGATTCAGGGTAGCCTGACCTGAGCCCTTCTGGGTAGCCTGACCTGAGCCCTTCTGCTGATCACCTGCAGCAAACATGGGTCAGATCCTACAGGGTTTTTGGTGTCTGGCTCCCTGGAGAGCACAGATAGTAGGTAGTGACTGGCTCCCTGGAGAGCACAGGTAGGTAGTGACTGGCTCACTTGGAGACGCTGGATGGATGTGGGTTGTCCCTGATCCCTCAGGGAAGCCCATGGAGGATGTGGATACTGATTATCTTCTTCCCAAACCCAGGGCATCCGTGATGATGACTAACCCTCCTTTTCCTCTCCTTACATGCAGGGCAGCAAGGGCAGAAGAATACCTTGGTGGGTTGCTGAAGGCTGCACACTCCAGGAAGGCAGTGCTGAACTTTAGTCTATCCCCAGCCCAAATCATACACCTATCAGGTCCTCCAACATGAGGATGAGTCCAGAACATGGCAGTAACCTTGCTCTTTCTTCTCCCTGCAGAGCCAGCTTTCCCAAGCCCTGAATGGGTTGTCAGACAGAGCCAAGGAAGCAAAAGAGTTCCTGGTCCAACTCCGCAACATGGTGCAGCAAATCCAGGTACTGTATCTTCTGGCTGGGAAACAGTCAGCCCCTTCCCACCAGGATGAGTTGCTCTCTGCAGTCCTGTCCCATCTCCCTACCTTTGTTTGGTGGGTGCTGTCCCAAAGGGGCTCACCCCTGACTTTTCATATTACTCCCCTGCAGCTTCCCAAAAAATGCTCCTCCCAAAGATGCCTGTGTCATGGAGGGAGCAGCAGAGACCCCTGTCTCTGCCATGGGTAGATCCAAGGATGTGGCAGGACAGACCAAACCTGTTCCCCACCTGCTCCCACCACATTTGCTGTGAGCCAAGGGTGTAAGCATCCCACATGCTAATGCTATGGATTTGTGAGTTGCAGTGGTGCAGCAGCACATGTAGAAATAGCCCATGTGGTATCATAGTAAAAAATCAGGTTCCCCAGCTGAACTGGAGATGTGTCCAGGGTTGTAATGCTCTGCTCTGACCCACAGGAGAACAGTGTGGAGTTCGAGGCCTGCCTGGTGGCCCAGTGTGACGCCCTCATTGATGCCCTCAACAGAAGGAAAGCTCAGTTGCTGTCCCGGGTCAACAAGGAGCACGAGCACAAGTTGAAGGTGAGCCCTTACCCACCAGCTTGAATGGTGCTTTCTGCAAGGTTGGCACCAGGTGGGGATGAGGACTGGTGCTGTTTGTTGGCGTGAAGCACCACAGGAGGAGAGGGGAGGTCTATGGAAAGCCTCTCTTCTTGCTTTCCACATTAGCTGAACTTCGTTTTGCTGCAGATGCCCAGCCTGCTTACAGCATGACAGACTTCCTTCAGGTCATGGTTCTCACTCAATTACTCTACTACTGGGCCAATTACTACTCCTTATGTCAGCAGCCATGTGTACAGCATCTACAGGCTGGAAAATGACCTTGTTCATGTCCTGTGTAGCTTCTGAGCCACTAGCATAGATGCTGAGTGCCTGTAACTTCAGTTGGCTTCAGCTCAATTTATGTGTCACTTGATGGCATGGGATGGCACCTCCATCATCAGGGAGGAGCAGGAATTGTTCTGTTTTCTGTATGTGGTGAGCACCTCATGGCCTCAGGGTGGTGTTTGCACTGCGAAGTGAATTGTTGGTGCTGGGGGAGCTGAGATGCAGCTCTCAACGTGAGCACTGAGGTCAGCTCGGTGTGAGAACAGGCTCCTGACTTGTGTCATTCCTGCAGTCATGACACTGCTTCTTTTCAGATCATCTAGGGATGAGAATGGAAGCAAAGGGCCAGATCTCACCTGGGAGTGGTAGAGTGGGTGTAGTAGCAGTGCCCAGTGTCTGTGGGACAAGGTAGTTGCACCCTGGCCGTCACTGATATGGGCCAGCTGAGGCATTTCACACTGACATCACTTTGTGCTTTAGGATGGGCATTTCCAACTGCATTTCACTGTTCTGCCTAGAAACATCTGTGTCTTCTCTCTGGCTCTACTTGCATCCCCTTGGCCTTGCTTTTGGCCACCATCCCTCTGGAGGGGTTCCTGGACCTGCCTAAAATGAGGGAGGAGGCCATCAGTCTCCAGCCTGCCTGCAGATGATGGGCACCGCAATACAAGGGCTTGTGAGTGTTTCCATCAGGAGATGGACAATAGCAGCTTTGTGGGACCAAGCCCAGCATTAATGCTCAATAAAGCACAACCCCAAATAGGCATGCCGTGCCACCAGCCTCTCTTCTAGGTGCAGAGAAGGCCCCCACTGCCTGGTGGGCTCTTTTTCACTCTTCCCCTTCAGGGCACAGTTAATTAAACTCTCACAAAGCCAAGCAGCACAAAGAATTTCCCTGCTCAGCACAACCCATGGAGGCCTTTCACTTTTTGGCCAGAGGAAGGGACTTGCATCCCATTGCTTGCTCTTACCAGCACACTTATATGTACATCCCAACCCCATCCACTGTTGTTATCAGCTGGCCTTTCCCATTAGTAGGTCTGACCCTTAAAAAAAGAAACAGCCTCTAGGTTTCACACTGGACTCTCTTAAAATGAGGCCCCAATCCACCCTCCCTGAAGGACCCAGCCCTTGACAGCTCCCCATGTGCCATGTGAAGGGAGCTGCATGGGTAGGAAGGGCTCTGTGGCCCTGCATGCTCCAGCAGATGTGGTACACAAGCCTGCATCCAGTTATCCATAGCATCACAGCAGGTGTTTAAAACCCAGAGTCTGCTCCCCTCTGCTCTGCAGCCTGTGGAGTGTTGGGAAGATTTTTAGCCTGAAATGATTTGGTTTTCCCTTTTAATTCTTACTGGGTTGGGAGGGGTAAGTAATAAATGCAGCAGTGCTTGCTTTTACACTTAATACAGGGACAGTCTTGCAGCTGTGACCCACTCAAGTGCCAGCTAGTCCTGCACACTGAGATTTGCCTCCTGTGACTTCAGCATTGTTAGGCTGAGAACAGTGTCTGCTTGCTTCAGCATCATCTCCATACCCTCTGGTTTGGGGACAGCCACAGAGAAGGTCTTGTCTGCTTTCACAAGCTGCAGACAGGACAGGGGGTGCAGGACAGCCTCAGTCCTGTTGGGTACATCCCTACCATCCTCAGTGGGCATGCACAGGGTCTCGTGACCACACCAGGCCACCACAAGCCTGGCATGTGTGCCCACTTGCCACTGCCATGTCCTCCAGTATCTGGAGGAGCAGTGGGGCCAGGTGCCTGCTCCACCTCCAGGACAGACCTCCTAGTCTGTCCCACTCCTCATTGCTGACCTGGTTTTCAGAGGATCAGTATGGTCTTCCCCAAGGGACGATGTCCTACAGCACAAGCTGGTTTGTGCAGGGGACACAGAGGCTACTCCGCAGCATTGTCCCAGGGAGAAATATCTCCTCCACAGCACATGTGGACTGAGCACTGCATGCACCTCCTTTAAGCTCCTGGCAGTACTGGTGTGCTGTTCTGGTCTTCTTCTGGCCTTCAAGTCATAGGATGTCTTTGCTTCATGATTTCACCATGGTGCTTTGGCCACAGAGCCCTTGCAGGCAAACAGTGGTTGTCACACTTCCCAGAGGAGTTAATTATAAGGGAAATGCTCACCGAGGGCTCCTGTCCATAGTGCTGGATCTCCAGAGATGAAATGCTGGTCCATGACCTTTCTTTAGGGATTACAGTCAGGATTTTCCAGGAAGCCCAGGGGAACTTGCTGTCCGTCTTGAATTAGGTCTCTGGTGATCAGGACTGGTGTGAAAGGATGAGAGACAGGACAGAAGTACAGGCCTAGTTTCCTGCACTGCACCATTTCTATATGGAAACACCAGACAGGACACACAGGTCTGATAAGCTCATTACAACATACATTATTTCCCAAAGATGCAGATACTGCACCACTGCTTTATCTTACAAATCCCTCCACACTCTGCACTATTTCTCCCCTGCCATGGTATCTGCCCACCTTGGGAAGGACATCAGCACTGGGAGCTGGGCACTGTGTTGCTCAGCAGAGCTGTGATTTCGCTGCAGGGATGTCCCTGATTTTCTGATGTCCCTCAAGCTTTCTCCTTTTTCTGTTGAAATCTGTCCCCCACAGCATCTATGTGCCATCTTCCCCAGTGGCTCTGCACTGGAGATCAGGTCTTCATATTGCACTTTCCCATACTTGTTGGTGCCTGCAGAAGCCTCTGATCAGAACAAGCTGTGCAAGCCTTCAGGGCGTGTCACCACCAGCATCGCACAGGGTTGTTAATGCAGCAGCTCTGCTTTTCCTCTCCCAGTAGCAAGAGGCAAGTCACCATGGAAACATCCACCTGGAAGTGCTCTGCTCAGAGGATGCGTGGTTGTGGGATTCAGCACAGTCAAACTGTCGGGATCTTTCCCAGGGATTTTTCCATGTGGGTTTGCAGCGCTGCGGCAAAGCACAGCACCAATGCTCTGTAACACTGCTGTCCATCCCCACAGCCATGCAGGTGACCAAACCCCATCCATGGTGTGCCCAAGGAGGCTCCATGTCCTTCATATGACATTCCCAGCAGGACTCATCCTGGGCACTGAGGAGCTGAGGTTCAAGTGAGGTTGAGTGTCTTGAAAATCGGTTATCAGCCAAGTACTAAAAAGAGGAGGAAGGGGAGGAAGACATGTAAGTAGAGATGCGTGCAGATGTTACTGCCTTCTAGGAGCTATATTAAAATGTAAATTATAGTTAATGTCATCTTACAGGGAATAAAAGCTCTTGAAATAAATGTCCTATTTTAAGGTAGTAGTGAACTGCTGTGAGTGCACAGCAGAAGTCCTTTTTATAGGCTGTAATTAGCAGTCAGGTTCTGGCTGTTGCCTCCTTTGGCAGCTGAAGGGAAAAAAAAAGCATTTGATAGAAACTACCACAAACAAAATGTATGGAGCTGCCCAGATCCCTTTCCCACCTGAGCCATTAGCCCTTTCCCAGAAGATGCCACCATTCGGTGTGGTGTGTTACCAACATAGTTTCAGGAGAGGTTTGTAATCTGTCTACCTCCATACAGGATTCATGGCAGTGTGGTTTCTTGGTTATCTGCCCAACACAGCCTTATTTTTTGCATGAGTCAGGGGTTTGAGGAACTTCCAGATTTCATTTTCAGCTTCCTTCATCGAAATACTCTTCATTACTGGGGTAACAGAGAGCTGAGGTACCCCAAAGAGTGGAAATCCCAGATGCACAAGGAGAACCACAGGATACTTAAGGCGATATGGAAAACTTTTTGGCTTCACTGGCCTCACTGGGCTTAGACCATGCCTTTAAAGGTGTGGGAGATGCCTATGTCTTATTCTTAAAACCTTTCCTTTCCCTAATCAACGTTCCTGTCTGCATCCCATTTCTCTTGTATAGAGTGCAAAAGCTGTAGAGCCATGAAGCCCCACTAGGTCCCAACCAGAGATCACTCTTCGTGCCTTGAAAACAGTTTGTTGGTGATGAGAGGAGCATCACCATTTCCCTTGCTGGCTTGCCTGCTGCATAGATGCTGCAATTAAACTGCTCTTTCGTGCTCTAGTTCTTCAGATGAATAGGTGCTTGGTCCCCAAAGGGGATCACAGTTACAGAAGGGCAGGATTGCTCAGACTAAAGGTGTAGGCGGCGGCAGAGCTGCATCCACTGCTTTGGGTGCAGTTTCTGAGCACCTAGAGCAGGCTTCTCTGGGCTGCCTCTGGTTGGGCTTTAAATGTATTCAAGGCTGGAGACTCCACAGCCTCTCTGTTCTGGCCTTCGACCACCTTTACAAACGTTATGTTTGAATGGAATTTCTTGTTTGCACCCACATGCATGAAGATTTACATAGCCTCAGTGGCAGCCTGCAGCAAGCTCTTCCACTCCTGACCAGACCTGATTAGCAGGGATAACCTGCCAGGAAGCCTGGTAATTAATGAGCTTGGAGCCTCCTTGGCGCTGGCCTCTCTTCACCCTGCTGAGGAGGAGTGGGCAGGGTAGAGGGGCAAAGCAAGGGCTGGCATCTTCATGCCCCAGCTCGATGCTCCCAGGCAGTGCCAGGAAGCCCTGCATGTCTCAGTTAACACCAGAGCAGTGGTGGCAGGTCCTCTCGCCTCGTCTCTTGGCCAAGCGGGTGCTAGGGAGCCAGCCGCATGTCCAGAGCTGTCTTGGGACACACTGCTTGTCTTCACTGAGCAAATGCTGTTTCTTGGAGGCTTGCATCTGGCTGGAGGGAGCAGATGGCAGTTCTGCTGGTGATGCTTCGAAAGCATCTACTAAGGCAGGGGGAGGCTCACAAATTCATTATCCTGGGCAAATCAGAGATTTAAACTGCAAAGCAGATAAGAAGATTGTTTATCAGTCCCATCTTCACTGTCTTCCTGGTGGCATGTGCATTTCCTTAGAGAGGGATCTTGCATGAAAGAAGGAGGCTGCTTTTCTGGGTGTTCAGGATGGGATCCCCACTTGCCCATCTGCAGCCCAGCAGGCAGGGAATGCAAAACTTTGTTCTGGCTCAGCCAGTGCAGTCAGGATATGCTCTCAGAGCAAGGCTGGAGCCCACACTCTGGGCTCATCTCACACTCAGTGTCACAACATGGTTTGCAGCTGGGAGACCCAACATCCACACAACCCTTGCAAGAGCAGAACTGCCCCCCCCCCATCACCCTCTCTCTTGAGGAGAAGAGACTAAACTAATGCAAAGGACTGCTTTGCATTGCATGGCAGGGGCTGCAGATTGCTGGATCCTATTCCAAAGGACTGACCATTCCTGCTGAGAAAGGAGCTCTTGGGGCTTGCTCATGCTTTCAGAAAAGGTCAGTGTGGGAATCCAGATCTCCAGGACTAGCTGTTGCCTCCACTGCAGATGGCTCCCAGCAGAGCCATCCCAGTGCACTCAAGTGTCAGAAACTGGCATTATAGATTATTGAATGAACTCTCCTCTTTAATGACAGTGTTTGAGGCCAAAACCAGTGTGTGCCTATTGTGCTGCTCGCTAGCCCTGTCTCAGGGCAATCCAGCATCTCTTCAACCCTCTGTACACACATCTTAGTCCAGAGGAGCAATATGGGAGCTCCCTCTGCTGCCTTGTCCACCCTGCACACAGCCCGGTCCCATCGCCTGGGCTTGCTCCAGCCCCCCTGTGCACCAGGCTGGAAACATCAGGTTGGGATTGCTCAAAGCAGCAGGGAGTGGATGCTCCCTAAAAACCAGGAGCCGTCTAGGAGAATGCTTCCTGGCATTTCACAGAAGCAGATATGTTGTCCCAAGTTGCAAGACTGGTAATTGTTTTCTTCCTGTTAGATGATTAAGTAGAGGTGATTAAATAATAATTAAACAACGCAGGATGTGATTGATTGCTCTGCAGGAGCCATTGCCCCTCCTGAAGCCCAGGTTTATTCACCACAGGAGGCTGACATGTGCTTCGTTTCACCTCCCCATCCCTCACACCGGTAGGGATGCTCACAGGAAGAGCCCAGGGCATTCATTTTGCTGTGCCTATGGAATGGTGGGCACACAGGCACTGGGGTTCACTGAAATGTTAATCGCTGCTTCTTGCAGCTTTTCCCATCACACTGCAGCTGCAGATGCTCATCTTCACTGTCTGTATCATCCTGAATAGCTGCGGTCTCGGGAGCTGCATAGCTTTATTCAGTCCTAGCAGGGAATTTTACCCAGCTTTAAAGGGAAAGGGAAAGACAAATAATCTGTCATGAGCACATTCCTCTAAAGCATAAAATCTCTCTTCCTGAGCTGTTCTGCCAATCTCCTGTGATAGAAGTCTCACTGACACTGAGTGCAGACCTGCACTGTCTCCTTCTGTGGGGATTCAGCGTGAGGGACCAGCCAAACTTCAAATATACCCTCGTGGCATTGGAGCCTGATCCCTTCCTGCCCGCTGTGTTTCAGGGGAGGTCAGCAGAGCCTGCAGGCTCAGGCCAAACCACACACTTGCTTGGATTCTGCTGTTGGGATGCTGAAACACATCCCCCTGGGGGAATTATTGCTGGCTGCAAGAAGATGTGCTTTAGCATGCAGCCTGGGCAGCTCCAGGCAGAGCTCAGCATGCTGCAGGGAGCTCTGCCACAAAGTGAGTGGGTTTATCTCCTCTCACTGGCACATTTCTCCCTCTGAGCTCATCCCCAGGATTCCGCTGCAGCCAGTGGAGAAAATGAGGCAATCCTGCAGCATGGTTCATCTCAGCTGATGGGAGATGAGTGCTGTCTCTCTCAAATACATTAGTCAGAGCTGAGGGAGGTGGTGCGTTCGTTCCTCTTGGAAATACCAGAATACTCGGAGCCAACCCTATATCCTGGCTCTGTGCTGAGGATGGATAGGGCAGCCCACAGAGGCTGCAGCAGCAGCTGCGTATCTACGGAGGTAGACATTTGCTTTGCATTGACTTCATAAGCTGCCATTTGGAAGCTGTCTTAATTAAAGACAGAGCATGGAACTGCCCTACTGCTTTGAATAATCACATGGGTTAATAATTTTGAGCTAAATAAGGCTTGCTGTTTTTCACCAGATTTTCAAAGATCTGGAATTTGGTGTCTGAGCCTTGACCAGTTTGGACTTTTTCTGTTCCCATGAATCTTCTGTCTGCTTTTGCATTGCCCTGACCCTGTCCTTGTGCTCACGGAGCACCAAAGCCCATTTTCTCCCCATATCCCAAAACCCCACAGCTCCCAGCAATGCTGCTCTCCTCGTGCCATTGCAGGTGGTGCGAGACCAAATTTCTCACTGCACGGTCAAGCTGCGCCAGACCACGGGACTGATGGAGTATTGCCTGGAGGTCATCAAGGAGAACGACCCCAGTGGCTTCCTGCAGGTTGGTGTGGAGCTCTCACATCTGGGCTGCGAGGGGAGCGGGAAAGGCATTGCACAGCTCAGGGCTATGGGGTAACACAGCAGAGCTGGGGAGTTACACCAAGGGTGATGTCCCCAGCTTTTCCAGCTGTAAAATCAGGGCCAACCTCTCATTACCTCCAGATTTGCAGCAGGACAGAAGAAGAACCAGGCCAGGGACATTTTTACTCTGACCAGAGAAAGAGGATTGCAGTAGATGGTGGTGTATCTCTGGAGCAGTGATCACAGCATGCTGTCTCATGGCTCTCCAGCAAAAAATGGACATACAGCACTTGAGAAGTGCATCACACTATTCATTCCTGGGCTGGTCCCTTTGGTACTAGACCCTGGCTTTAAAGTAGTCCCCAAAGTTCCTGGGGTCCCTCTGCCAATCTGAGCCTGCAGTGAAGGGTGATACTAGAAAACATGTGTGATGTCCCAGCCTTGGCAGTCAGGGGCAGACGTGGCAGCCTGGGAGGCACAGGGAAGGAGGAAAGCAGGGTAGGGACAACACACATCATACAGTGTAGCCCTTGGTAGCTGAGGCTGCTCCTTGCCACCAGATCTCCGACGCTCTCATCAGGAGAGTGCACTTAACTGAGGACCAGTGGGGAAAGGGAACACTCACACCCCGGATGACCACGGACTTTGACCTGAACCTTGACAATGCCCCTCTGCTGCAGTCCATCCATCAGCTCGACTTTGTCCAGATGAAAGGTAAGAACATTTCCAGTGCCTTTCAAAAGCCTGTCTCTGCTCATGCTGAATGCTTCTATGCAACTCATCACAGAGAACAGGCAGGAAAGGATCGTTTCTCATCTCCCAGCAAGCCCCAGACCCAGAGTTATTCCTGTACTGTGTATTCTGCACCCGTGGGCCATCTGCCTCTTTGTTTCGGATCCCTGGGCAGCTGTGTGCTAGACCAAGGTGCCAGGAGCTTGATTTTGTGTGACAATGCAATAGGAAGCATTCTGCAGGCTGGGACCAGGGTCTCAGGAGTAGCACAAGGCACTTCTGAAACCCCTGCTCACACACGTTCGCTTGCTCAATGCTGAGTAGTATCTGTTGTGGGCCAGTGAGCCCACCCATCCCTCCTGACGCAAAGGCACAAAGAGCTACACCACTTAGCTTGGGCTCTTTCCCTCCCTCCCATCTCCTCACTGTTGTTTTAGACCTTCATTTCAGTTTTAATTTCCTCCTTGCTCCGCATTCCCTCTGCTCACTCTCCCACACTGCGGAGCTGCTGCGTTTGCATCGCTTTGCAGGAAGCAGAGCGCCGCTGCAACCTGTGAGCAATTTGCAACTTGTCAAGCCCTGGGAAGCTGACAGGAGATGCAAATGGGCTGTGACACAGGGAAGCTCAGGGGGGCATTGAACATGAACCTGTACCTTCTGCTGGTGCAAATGAGCTGCCTGGAGGAGAGGCCACCTACTGCGGGTCTGGCATGGCTCTTCCTCACCACCATGAATGGATTTCCTGACTCTGGAGCCATTGCTCACACCAGCATTTCACAGGGCTCAGGCACAGGAAGGCACTGACCACATGCTTCCTCTGTAACAATAATGAGCACCGGCAAATAATAGCCTCACTGGTATTTACTGCAGTGAGAAGGGTGCATTGGGCATGGCTGCTGAGAGCCCTCCAGGATGCTGGGCTGTAGAGAAAGCTGTGGCTGCAGTCTCCCATGTCTGAGCCGGGCTGCTGTGAAGACTCCAGGCAGTTTCATGCCAGGTACATCGTTGTGCTGCCATGTTTCACCAAATGCATCAGAAAACAGGAAGAAA